TACTGGCCCTCGATTTTAAAAGATTGTATCGAATATGCCAAGTCCTGTGAAGAATGTCAAAAGTTTAGTCCGATACAACAGGTGCCCGCGAGCGAATTACACTCGATCATTAAACCTTGGCCTTTTAGAGGTTGGGCTATAGACTTAATCGGACAAATTTTCCCTCAATCATCGAAAGGACATAGATATATACTCGTCGCTGTCGATTATTTTTCAAAATGGGTAGAAGCAATACCATTAAAGGACGTTGATCAGCAGGATGTAATTGATTTTATTGAAGAATACATCGTCTATCGATTTGGGATTCCACAATCTATCACTACAGATAGAGGGACAGTGTTTATTGGGAGAAAGATAGTTAAATACGCTGAATCGAGAAACATTCAATTATTAACGTCAACTCCATACTATGCTCAAGCTAATGGGCAAGTTGAAGCAATTAACAAAGTAATCATTGGATTAATCAAAAAACATGTTGGGAATAAACCAAAAACTTGGCATGAAACGTTATTGCAAATTTTATGGGCTTATCGGAATTCACCGAAAGACTCTTTACAAAATACCCCATACAAACTGGTGTATGGACACGATGCAGTTTTGCCTATCGAAATAAACATTGAGTCGAATCGAATACAGAGGCAAAATGATTTACCCGGTTGTGATTACTGGAACATGATGTATGATGAATTAAATGAACTCGATGAAACAAGGTTACAAGCATTGAATAATATCATTTTACAAAAGAAGCAAATTGCTCGAGTTTACAATAAGGGAATTCGAAAGAAAATGTTTAACGAAGGTGACTTAGTATGGAAAACAATTTTACCCATGGATAAGAAATGTAAAAGTTATGGGAAATGGTCGCCAAATTGGGAGGGACCTTTTGAAGTTATCAAAGTTTTATCGAGTAATGCATATTCGATCATCGATTGGTATAACAAAGAAAAAGTGTTATCGATAAATGGCAAATATTTAAAGAGATATAAACTTCGGATAAGAGAAATAAACATTCAATATTAAAATAGAGTAATGTTTACAAAGATAAATATCGAGTTTTAAAATTCTCGAAATCCATTAACAGATTAGCCCAAGATAAAGAAATTGAGTTCTCTTCGGTGGTCAGTTTGTGTTCACGCTCCATGCTTTGGCCAAGAGATAGTGCCACTTCTTTCGCAGAAGAGTTAATCTTCTCTGCTCTGATGTAAGGAACTCTCTTTGCGACTTCAGTTGTTGCAGCCTTTTCTCCAACTCTTCGATTTCAGCATCAACCGAAGACAACGTAGTCAAAACTTCCCCTCGACTTAGTTTCTGATTCTTCAACAAATTAGACTTCTCAGCCTGGAACGCAGAAACTTCAGCTAACTCAGTCGCTATAGATTGCCTCCTTTTCCTTGCAGCATAGGCCTGGTTGAAAAGTTCAGTGGCCGCTGTGACCTCTGCATCAAATCCTCTGGGAAGAGCCTTTTCAGGGAAGGTTTCGATAGATTTAAGGATTTCTCTAAAGAGTCGTTTCTTTTCGAATGATTCTACCAAAACCTCCAAAGATGAGGAATAGAAGAATGCTCTGAAGCGCTGTTTGAGCTGATACGCTCCTTCAGGCGAAGTGGCAGTTGGTTGAGTGGAGTGGCTCGAAGGAGTGGCATCCCTCGATACTAGAATATCGAGAATCGAGAAAGGGTCTTCCTCGATGGCAGCTCGGTATTCTGGTACGTTAATTGGAGTAGATCCATGGAGCGCGGGTAGCGTAGGTGAGAGTAACTCAATCCCTTGCATCGAGAAAGGGTGGGAACCCATTTGCTCGGAGGTAGTAGGTGATGGAGAGTCCTGGACTTGGACCACTGGAACATTTACTGAAGAGAAAGAAATCGAGAATGTAAATCGAAAAGTTCATAATATAATGAAATGAAAAAGTGACAATGGATGAAAAGTATAAATACCAGAGGGAGGTAGAGCGAGGAGTGCTAAGGAAGGAGGAAGAGCCTGTATAGCCTCAGGCTGCTGAAAATCGAGAACGAATGTTAGAAAAAGGAAGTACATAATTCAAGTAAACCTACATATAGAAAGCTTGTACCTCAGGAATTGGGACTGATGATTGGAGTTGGGAATCAATATTAGTCGATACAGTCGTTGACGGATGGTCCTAAAAATATATCGAAATCAGGTAACGAGTCCTATCGAAATCCAGGAATATAAAATGATGCAAAGAAAGCACTTACGTGACTGGAATGAGTTGTAGGAGTAATCTGACCCACTTCAGTAATTATATTGGAGTCCGTAGATAGTGGATCAATGACAGGTGGTTGAATAGATCGGGGACTCTTCGACTTTTGTTTCTGAAATTAGAAATCGAAAGCAGTAGAAATATGTTAAGACCCGAATGAGGAGACTAGAAACAAAAGGTCAAAATAAACAGGGAATCGAAAAGAACCTTCGATTTTTTAGAAGAAGAAGAAATGGTGGCCGAGTGTTTGCGCTTTCTAACGAGGGCTGAAGGATCAGATTCATCAGAAGATTCCCAGTCTTTATCCTTCTCTTGACCCTTCTCGACAACGGTGACCTTGGTGGATTTCGAAACTGCCAATAAAAGAAGACAAATTAGCTTATAATATATGGAATAAAAAAAGTATAGGAAAACAGTAAAATCTCACCAAAAGGTGATGGAGTCAAAATCTTGACTCGGTCGATATGTACAAGCCAGGGAGGCAAAAGAGCCTCAGGGAGGTTAAGGTAAGGGAAATAAGATAATTTCGAGACAGAAATATCTTTGTTTTTGGGTTTTGGGCGAAGTGTTTCCCTTAGGGATCTCAATTCTCGAACCCATTTAGGATGAGTTAATGGTTTGGCAAGTCCAAAAGGAGCTGTGGGAAAAGTAGGAAGGCGATTTGGGCAATACATTTCAAAAGGGGTTCTACCTACACTACAAAAAAAAAGCCTATTACCTACGACAAAAATCCGTAGGTAATGGCAAAAATCCGTAGGTAATGTCATTTTACCTATGGATTTTTTTCCGTAGAAAATCCGTAGGTAATATGGTCGTAGGTAATTACCTACGGAATTACTATCCGTAGGTAATGTCGTCCGTGGGTAATTACCTACGGAATCTGTTCGTGGGTAATTACCTACGGATTGCAATCCGTAGGTAGTTACCCACGAACAGAATCCGTAGGTAATTACCTACGGATTGCAATCCGTAGGTATTACCTCATTCAAAATCAGTAGGTAAATCCAGTAGGAAAATCACTAAGTAAATTTATAAAATTTTATCACCACCAATTTAACTAAATTTTACTGTTACATGCATATTACACATAAAATATTTAGATATCAAATTTAACAATATTCCATAATATTTATATGCACCAAATGCATATTCGGATATCAAACACAAATCCTAATATTAGCATGCATATTACACAAAATATTTAGATATCAAATTTAACAATATTCCATAATATTTATATGCACCAAATGCATATTCGGATATCAAACACAAATCCTAATATTAGCATGCATCAAGTAGTGCTTCAAATATCTAAGAACATACAAATCCAAAGAAGTACTATAATAAATATTATGACAATATTGTTTGAGTGTCCTAATAATTATAGTAATGTCCTTGTTCATCTTGAGGTTGCTCTACTGAAAGCTGGTTCATTTTGTGATTGTTGTTGCTTGCTCTTCCTGCACTTGCTGCTCCTGTTGTGATTGTTGTTGTGATTGTTGTTGTGATCCTTGTTGGGAATGTTGTTGTCGAAATGCTTGTCGGGCATCGGGTGGAAGTAAAGGAAGGACAACACCGACAAGTGTTTGTAATTGGTGGTTCAATCTTTCATTATCCTCCCTATAACTAAGCACTTGTTTCTTTAATTGTGTAATCTCACGAGAATCGGTACATGCTTGAATATGAGAGGGTATCTCCGGGCCTAAACTTATGGGCAAGTTCTCCAACACCGTAGATCCAGACCCTTTTTGTTGCTAGATGCGGCAAGAATCCAACTTTCGAGTCCTTATTCTCTCCTCCTCTATAGGATCTAATGAAGATGACTCGGTTTCAGCGGCACGGGATGCTGCCTCGGATCTAGCCTCGGAGTATCTTCTCCGAAATTCTTCCTATTCACATACACATAAAAATTATGTACGATATACAACACATATCCATCATAACATATAAGAGAGTAATAGAGTAATATTAAATAAGTTCACAACTCACATGAGTTTTTCTAGACCTTTCATCAACAAATTCACCATTAACCTTTCGTATATGAGTCTGTTTGAACACCTCATCAATATGTGCGGGACGACCCAACTCCTTTTCCTGGAAAAAAATTAATTAATAACATATCATGAAGAAATGAAAGAAAGAAACTTTTGTTATAATTTCATATTTACCATACGAATGGCGTGTTCATGCATACTAATAGAACCACACGTGTGTAAACTACCACCAGTCTCGAGAAGATCGATTCTTCGAGCTTGTGCACACTTTGCACGATAATCAATTGAGTTCCACTTGTTCAACAAAGTTTTCCACACATCATCAAACATCCAATAGGGCTTTTGACCTGTCCTTCTAGCATCTTTGAACATTTCGGATAGCCTATGTGAGGCCTTTGAGTGAAAATTCTTTCGAATCCTATCCTCATCTTCGAGTCTCCAGGTGACCTTTCTCTTTGCAAATGATTTACACAAAAAAACAAATAATAATAATTGTGTCAATGAATGTAAGTAATAAAAATAATTCATCAACCTAAATATAAGAAAACTTACTTTAAATCGTTGAAAGAATGTCTCTTTTTCAACATCGGTCATTGAACCCCATGTCGGCCATGGCTTAGAATATTGTTGCTTAATAGTCATTGTTATAGCTTGTGATGCAACCCGACATGGATGGAACCTTCTCCAAATAATTAAATTAAATAATAATCACAATTTCCTAATACTTGCAAATAATGGGAATGATATAATTTTAACTTCATTCTTACCCTAGACCATAAGGTGATATGATAGGAAGATTAGTGCCAAGTGGATGATCCTCGTCAATGTCCGATTGTGCATCACCTTGCTGAATATGCACTTCTTGGTCTTCCCAGTCTGGTGTATGACGGACTCTAGAAGGCATCGATAATGGTGATAGTCTTGGAGACCTTGAGGGTAATGTAGGTGAGACCAAAGGTAGTGGTGATGGTGCTGATGATGCTGAAGGCAATGTAGCTCCTGGGGAAGGTGCTGATGCAATGACAGGTGATGGACTAGGGTTGGGTGCATCAAGCGGGGATGGGGCAGAAGTGGTCTGTAGGTGCAATATTGTTTGTATGGGCATGTATATTCTCGGCACTGCGGTGAAGAAGGTATAGGTGCGGGGAGCTACGGGTGGGGGAGGGACATTTACTTTAAGTATATAGCGTGGTTTTTTCGTTTCGTTACTTTTTTCCCCTTATTGGAATGAGGCATGGGAGGTTGGGGTGAGTCACATCCTCCTGATGACATATCTATACATAGGAAATTTATATAGTCAATTATGCAATGGAGTAAATGGATTTGTAAGTTTTTTATATGGCCATAATGTAAGTTTTTTGGGGTCATGATTATGAAGCATTTGTAAGGTGGAAACACATTCTTAACTCACCCACCAAGAAACTAAGCCACGAGAGACATGAACCAAGCCAATAGGACTTGGATAACACCGATCTCAACCTCATCAAGTGAAAACCACAGATTCAAGCCAAACTAAACGAAATAACGGTACAAAAAACCTTAATAAACCAAGATCTTATTCAACTAACGAGCCACCAATTCAATGATTCATATGCAAATAAACCGAGACCGGGCTTAATAGTTAACTAAGCGAACGATTCGAGACTCCAAAAAATGTGAAAGAAATAGGATTAAAGCATAATACCGAGGCTTAATTCGCTGCCTCTATATCTCACCTCTAGCTCACGGCGAGCTCGGTGGCACAATGGGGGTGGGCTGGAGCGAGGAGAGGCGGTGGCCGCGGCCGGCGTCGAGGTGAGGAGTGGGGGTTGGGACGCTCGATGGTGGTGGTTGTCGTGGATGACGAGGGGCTTTGGTGGAGGTTCGATTAGGGTGAGGCCGCGAATGCGACTTGGCCTTGCGGTGGCTCGACGAAGGGGACGACGAAGTGGGGTGCTCGAGAGTGGGGAGGCTGCGGCTAGGGTTACGGTGAAGGAGGTGGGTGGCGGGTTATAGAGGAGGTTAGTGAAATTGAGGGAGACGAAGGAAGGAGTTAGGGAGCTTGAGTGAGGCGCGGATGCGGGGTCATAGAAAGTAAGGCTTTCTACGTCGGTTATTCAGGGAACCGACGTAGAACGTAAGACTTTCTACGTCGGTTCCTAGGAACCGACGTAGAAAGCCTTACTATGATCGGCCAAACTGGTTCTGATCGGTCATAGGATGACTTTCTACGTCGGTTATTCTGGGAACCGACGTAGAAAGTCCTACTTTGTATGAGCAATTCTGATCGGTCATAACTTGTTCTGATTCGGTCATATGATGACTTTCTACGTCGGTTATTCGGTGAACCGACGTAGAAAGTCCTACTTGTATGAGCAATTTCGATGGGTCATAAGCTGGTTACGATATGTCATAATACTTTCTATGTCGGTTAAAATTGATAACCGACATAGAAAGTCTTACTTTCTTACTTTCCATAACACCAGTATCTATATCGGTTAACGGTACCGTGATTGTATGTGTTATCAATGTCGGTTATGCTTATAACCGACATAAAATGTTCAACTTTCGACGTCGGGTTTGTCATTAACCGACGTAGAAAGTGTTATTATTTTTTTAAATATTTGCATTTTCTTTAGAGATGCTACCTTTCTTCGAGTAGACTCTGCCTATTCATCACAATTCCGAGACAAATATTCACGAGATCCGATACGAGACGGATATGCACAGCTCATACATAAATTTGCTACGAGATATATATCCGATGCAGACAGATCCTGTTGCGAGACGAGATATGTACATATGAAACACATTGAAATCAATATATGTACATCCTCCTGATGACATATCTATACATAGGAAATTTATATAGTCAATTATGCAATGGAGTAACGTCATACATAATATGAAATAGAAAAATTAACTCAAAGAAAACATTTTTTCAACTACATAATAAACATTTTCTCAAGCACATCATGTAGAATATAAAAATTAACTCATAAAGAACAATTTCTCAACTACACAAATCCTCTTCCTATTCCTCTTCCTCTTCCTCTTCCTCTTCCTCTTCCTCTTCCTCTTCCTCTTCCTCTTCCTCTTCCTCTTCCTCTTCCTCTTCCTCTTCCTCTTCCTCTTCCTCTTCCTCTTCCTCTTCCTCTTCCTCTTCCTCTTCCTCTTCCTCTTCCTCTTCCTCTTCCTCTTCCTCTTCCTCTTCCTCTTCCTCTTCCTCTTCCTCTTCCTCTTCCTCTTCCTCTTCCTCTTCCTCTTCCTCTTCCTCTTCCTCTTCCTCTTCCTCTTCCTCTTCCTCTTCCTCTTCCTCTTCCTCTTCCTCTTCCTCTTCCTCTTCCTCTTCCTCTTCCTCTTCCTCTTCCTCTTCCTCTTCCTCTTCCTCTTCCTCTTCCTCTTCCTCTTCCTCTTCCTCTTCCTCTTCTTCTTCCTCTTCTTCTTCCTCTTCCTCTTCCTCTTCTTCTTCTTCTTCTTCTTCTTCTTCTTCTTCTTCTTCTTCTTCTTCTTCTTCTTCTTCTTCTTCTTCTTCTTCTTCTTCTTCTTCTTCTTCTTCTTCTTCTTCTTCTTCTTCTTCTTCTTCTTCTTCTTCTTCTTCTTCTTCTTCTTCTTCTTCTTCTTCTTCTTCTTCTTCTTCTTCTTCTTCTTCTTCTTCTTCTTCTTCTTCTTCTTCTTCTTCTTCTTCTTCTTCTTCTTCTTCTTCTTCTTCTTCTTCTTCTTCTTCTTCTTCTTCTTCTTCTTCTTCTTCTTCTTCTTCTTCTTCTTCTTCTTCTTCTTCTTCTTCTTCTTCTTCTTCTTCTTCTTCTTCTTCTTCTTCTTCTTCTTCTTCTTCTTCTTCTTCTTCTTCTTCTTCTTCTTCTTCTTCTTCTTCTTCTTCTTCTTCTTCTTCTTCTTCTTCTTCTTCTTCTTCTTCTTCTTCTTCTTCTTCTTCTTCTTCTTCTTCTTCTTCTTCTTCTTCTTCTTCTTCTTCTTCTTCTTCTTCTTCTTCTTCTTCTTCTTCTTCTTCTTCTTCTTCTTCTTCTTCCTGGACTACTTCAACATCAACTTGTGAATGTTGCAATCCAAAAACACCTTCAACTTCAATAGCTTCATTTACATGGGACATTTCATCCATTTGGTAAGGAACATCATCTTCCATGTCTTGAGATTCTATGCGACCTCTAGGCTTCGTTTTTATAGCAACATACCACCCTTGTTTGTCCTTTCTTGATCTCGGATATGGGATATAATATACTTGTCTAACATTATGTGCCAAGATAAAAGGATCAAATGGTAAATACCTTCTATCCATGCGAATGTCTACAGTTCCATATTTAGAATCCACTAATGTACCTCTACGTGATGGATCAAACCATTCACAATAAAATACCACCACTTTCTTCGGGAGGTTGAAGTATTATATTGCAGCTCATATATGTGTTGAATGATGCCATAAAAATCATCTTCACCTCCTTACGTAAGACCTTTTACATGTACACCACTATTGATTGTTTTTTTCCCCGAGTCCAAGCATGAGTGTGGAATTTGTATCCATTGACAAAGTATGTGTGCCATTTATTGACACATGTGAAAGGACCAATCGACAACTCCCTTAAGTGTCTCGTTTCTTATACTTAAAGGCTCACTATGAACCTACAAATGTAAAGAAGGTATAGTCATATGTTGTTAAGCATATTTTAATAAACTAAGTTATTAATGTAACCATACATACTTGATGCTTAAACCATTGAGGAAAATGTCTATGTATGTCATTGGACATGTTTGAGTCATTGGGTTGACCAGATTGCAAGAAGGAACTATGAAAATATAGGAGAAGGATGGAGAACGATTTAATTAAAAAAGAAAATGATATAATAATGAAATATAGTGTTTGAAATACTCACTAAAGGTATGACTTAATTTCGGTGCAGTTGATCAAGACATGAACATGAGCCGAGTTCCACTCTTTTTGAGTTAACCAATGAATTGATGTCTTTCCTGAGTGACGACCAACCAAGTTAAAGATAGATAACATTGATGGATCCCTTTCAATTTTGGCTTGTATTTCATTTCTCTTATTCTGTGGTGATAGAATGAAGTTCTTGAAATAATGGGAACAAAAGTGAGTTGTCTCTCGATGCAAGTATGAGGCACAAATTGATCCTTCAACACGAGCTTTATTTTTTACTGATCGTTTAGAATCACCCATGAATCTATAATATGAATGAAATGAGGATGATATTAGCTCAATATTTCAGTAAATCAAATTTTGTGCATAATCAATGATAGTCTTCTTACCTTTCAAATGGATACATCCATCTATATTGAACTGGTCCACCAAGTTTGGCTTCATACACAAGATGAATAGGTAAGTGTTCCATTGAATCAAAGAATGCAGGGGAAATATTCTCTCCAACTTACAAAGAATTATTGGAATATTTTCTTCCATTTTAGCCAAGTCATGATGCCTCAATGTTGTAGAACACAAATCTTTAAAAAAATGGCTCACTTCGAGTAAGAGGGTTCCAAGCATGCACTCGGTAATGAACTAAATGCAATAGGGAGTAAACACTCCATAAAAACATGACAATCATGGCTCTTCATCCCATGCATCCTTCCCTTGTCTACATCGGCACATCTTGCTAAATTGGATGAATAACCATCGGGCATTCTAAGTTCCCTGATCCAATGACAAACTAACTTTGCTTCCTCTGCAGTTAAAGTATAATTTGCTTTTGGCTTAACCATCTTCCCATTAGCCTGCAACTTCAACTCTAAATCTGGTCTACAACAATACAAAGCTAGGTCCTTCCTTGCCTTATCATTATCTTTTGTCTTACCTTTGACATTCATGACGAGTGTTCAATATATTATCAAAGAAATTTTTCTCTATGTGCATAACATCAAGATTGTGCCTCAATAAATTATTCTTCCAATACGGCAAATCCCAAAAGATACTTCTTTTTGTCCAATTATGCCATTCCCCATAGCCTGGTAACTTGTTCATATGAGGGTAATCTATGACTTTGGGTACATCCATAATTATACTCCAAACTTGCTCGGATGTCAATGTACATGGTGGGTCATTAGTTTCAATTTTTCCCTTTTTAAAAGCTTTTTTATTCCTTCTAAATACATGATTTTTGGGCAAGAACCTACGGTGTGAATCAAACCAACT